GGGGCCTGCAGGAGCTCGGGCCGCCCCGCCGGGCGGCCCCGGCGCCGCCTCAGGTTTGGCCGCGAGCGCTCCCATAGTTCGGTGTGGTTCGCTGACTCCGCGCCCCGGCTCTTGCCAGTGCTTTCTCGCTCAAGTTATGTATGTTCTCTCTGTAGTGATGAAGTTAAGGGGGAGCGTTGCTGCAAAGCCAGCGTAAATTAGCAGCCCTGCGTCCCCGAGGCAGCGGGGAGCCCTGCCAGGCAGCGGCACGTTAAGGGAGCTGGAGAGTTTGCAGCACCTCTACCGCGCTTTCGGCCTCGACTGGTACATTTGGCCTAAGAATAGCTGAGAAGAGTCCAAGAACCCAGCTTGCTTAGATACTTCAGCTGTCAGGAGGACAGTCTTTCTCATCACCTGGTCTTTGTAGTGATTGCTCACAGTCTTATTATCCCTTCCCCTACCTTTTTTTTTTTTTTTTTTTAAATCAATTTCTGACCTACAGTTATCCAGTAGGGATTTGGAGGGTTTTTGTTGTCAGGGTTTGTGTTTTTTTTCCCCGAGTTTTCTTACGTTTAAAGTTAATGGAACAATGTCTTTGTGCGAGGCATGTCTTCATCTTAAGTCATCTGTTGGTACATGGCGCCGTTAAGGTACACGTGCGTCATAATAGTCTTTGAAATCGACGTTAGAAAAAATTTCCTTGCAAAACTGAAAAACCTACTTAATTTTTTAAGTTATTACCCTCAACTTGTTTAGTGACTTTCTTAATACAATACAAAAACATAAGCAGAAGCTTAAATGAGCAGATGTTGTCCTTTATCCTCCGAAGATCACAAAAGTGGAGGAAGGCTAACTTTCTGGTGAAGGACCTTTGAGGTGCTTTGAGATTCTAAGAAGTTCGCGTGTAGAGCGGGAATGCTTCTACTCTCTGTTCCATTTTCACATGTTAATATCTGTGTCAGCCATCTCTGAAATCAGATAAACTTCTGTCTTGGCACACTGCTTATGGGAGACCCTGTGCCAAATAAGCTGTGGAGAGTCCACCTTATACTCCACATTCTCAGTTTGCATCAGAGAGAGCTCTGGCCTTGCAAATCAGCTGCTCCATGCCCTTGGGAAGACTGGGGATCTCTGCCTAACTGGAATGTGAAGGAATTGCGTAGTTTCCCAGACTTGTTGCTGCTTCTCTGCACGTAACTGTCACCCTTGATAGGCCTCATCCGGATCTCTGGGACGCAGTTTCAGGGCCCTTGGTCTGGACATCCGGCTCCTAACAGGCATCAGCAACCTCAGGTTTCAGGTTCGAGGGGAAGAGAAGGAAAGGGAACTTCCGAGCGTTTGAGAAAGGTGCTTAGACACACTGTTAGTTTTATTAGGAATGGGGTCACACTGCAGTCTGACAGCCCTGGTGTTTATATTAGAACCTCCTTCCCCATTGCTAGGTGATTCTAACGTGATAGCCTACTAATGCATCTCACCAATACACACATTTTGGCGCTGCTCCCTGTAGTTGCAAGGCAGAAGCCTAGCATTCCTTTAGGATAGTCTTTGAGTGCCACAGAGGCTGCTAACATTGTGTCATGAGTACTAGCGGTGAGAGCTGGGTTAGGCAGAGCCAGCGTAACCCTTCTCTTCAGGATTATTGGAAGAAATGTCACTGAGGACCTCACCCCCACCCTTTTGAGAGCAACGGTACATACGAGGTCCTACATTTGTCTTAAATGTTGTGGGCTACTCCAGAAAGAGAGCACTCCAGGTCCTTTGTTGTCAGATGTCTTGAGATTTCTTTTTTTCTTTTTTGTCGTCGGCTTGTTCCCCTTTTATCTTTGCTCAGCTACGGACAGAACCATGAACTGGTTGGCTCTAGCTATTCTGAGATTTTGCCCGTGAGAGTCGCTCGTCTACAGAGGAGTGGGGTGTCCCCAGTTTTCTTAGTTGGAAGGAACCTCAGATGAGCAGTTTCAGTGCTTTATTTTGACCGCTGTCGATCTTTTCAACATGGAGTTCACTCAGCTGAAGCAAACTTGATTTCTGGAGTTTGTTGCTCTTGGATGGGATTGACTGGAACAACAGACTGTTCCAGTCTGTTGACTGGAATTTACTTTAGTTGTATTCTTTGGTCCAGAGGGAGACTAGTCCCATGTTGCTCGTACTGGTATACCTGTCTATCCAAGGGCACACAGACATTTTTGAATCAGGTAATGATTTGGGTTGTGTTTTGCTGTGGAGCTGCCCTAGCTAATTGTAGAACTCAAGCTGTACTGGTGGCCTCCAAGGATGTCTGTTCACTGCTACCTGCAGAGGGCTTATCAGTAACTGGAGATTTTTGACACATGTAGTCCATGTGTATGTTTACTTTTCTTCTTTTCATAGACCAGTAAGTCCACCGTCCAGTTTTCCAGGTGAGAGACACTGATGTTGTAAGAGGGACACTGATGTATCAGTGTGAAGGTAAAGCAGTGTGATACATAGATATTGCCACAGCAACATAATCTCCAGGCACGATCACTTACGGCACATAGTTTGTCCAGAGTTAAAATGGGCTACCTATCCCCGAACTCCTGTCAATAACCTCTTTTCACCCTTGCCTCCTGATGTTAATAGTATACAAGAGGCCATTTTTCAGAAAGGTGTATCTCTTTGGATCTTGATTTATGGTTGTTAGCAGAGATTACGAATGCTTGCACCTTCCTAGCCCATGCAGGGAAGGAATACCAGGACTCCTTACTGACTCTCAGGTCTCCACTATCCCCAGTACTAGAACTAGCTGCTCCTCCAGTCCCACTAATTTAATCTGGAGTCATAGCAACAAAAGACTGCGTAGTAGGTACATGGGGCTAGGGGTGCCCTGTGACGTTAGATGGTCTTGCTCTGTTTATTTTTTGGCCTCTCTGATTTTTATATATCCTGCAGCTACGTTTTATGAATTCTAGGAAAAGTATTTCGGGGACTGTCCAGTCTTGAAGTTAAATCCAGAATTGAGATGTCATGACTCCATATTAGCATGATATTCCAGCAGTCAAAAATCATGAAAGCTGCTCTGACGTGGACTGTGGAAGAGAAAGATGGATACAGTGTTGGGCTCATAATTAATAACTCAATTTACACTTGTTTTTTCTTATAAGCAATAGTCAATTTCTATGAGAACCAAGATTGACTTATTAGTGGGTTTACTGATTGAGGTATGAGGGGGTTTTTCCTGCTGTACTTTGAATTTCAGCTTGTATAATCTGAAGAAGGGAGGGAATGCAGAACTTTGTGCATAGCCAAGATAAAGGTGGACAAGGCAGCTATGTTCTGTGTTTAAAAAACAGAGGGTTACGTATTTGAGATTTCCTTACCTAGATTTCCATGCACAGATCTTTAACACCACTGTTCATTCAGTGTTTAAAATTTAGGGAAAGGGACCAGAGAATCCAAAATTTTCCTCCTAATTCAGTGTCTTTTAAAGAGTTGACTGTGGAAGGCCTTTAGTCTGAAGTTAAATATTTTAAGTAATAAAATATTTCATTACAGTTATAGGAATAGGATATTACTGTAATACTAGAAAATGGATGACTGGAGTAAAACCCATTTTCTACTTCTACAGGAGTTGCTGTTTTAGCAACTATATTAGGCCAGATTTCTGTAGAGATATTATTGTAATATATAGTGTGCTGCTGTAACAAAGCACAGTATCTGAGGATTTTGATAAACCCTATTTAGAATCCAGTGCCTGATGGTTTCATGGCTCGTGAGCTCCAATCCTAGTGATGCACCTAAGGCCATTTGTGCTTATAAAGAGACTAGAAACTACTATCTTACCTGCTGCTTACAGAAACAGTATTTTGAAATGTAAGAGCGTAAAGGAAGTTAGACATGTGATTTCTCCAGAAAGTTGGAAGACTGAGAGAGGTTTTCCTCACAAAGGTCATAGGCGCCTCAGTGAAATGTAGACTTTGTACTGTATAAGGATCAATAGCAACAAGTTCTGATTTCTTGACAATTTTTATATGAAAAGTATTTGCAGTGTTTTACAATATTTATATTGTACAAAACTTACAGTGCTGCAGTAGTACTCATTGTTACTTACTGTAGCAGTGCTTGAGTATGGAAGATTTCTGACTTAACTCTTTTGAAATTTGCTAAAATCTCTGACTGTTCCTGTATGTGATTTTTCCATAGATTAGTTTGCCTCTAAACAGGAGCAATTATCAGGAACTATTTTGTTTATTCTGTTGCAGGTGTGGACATTGTCAGCGTCTGCAACCAACCTGGAATGATTTGGGAGATAAATACAATAACATGGAAAACCCACAGGTCTATGTTGTTAAAGTGGATTGTACCGTAGATATTCCACTGTGCTCCGAATTTGGTGTTCGAGGATACCCAACGTAAGTATAAGAGGATGTCTGCTCTTACTACTTTTTTTGTAGTTTTTCATGATCCTTTGCCAGTTTATTTGCGCTAACTTCTAAGCTATATTTTTTATGGTTTTCTTTGTAGCCCTTTGGACTTCATATGTTCATTTTAAGCCTCAGTACTACACTGCCAAGTATTCTATGACATAGACTACTCTCTCTCTCTCTCTCTCTCTCTTTTTCTAAGAAGCTGATTTGTATCTTGGAAGATGGCTGTGCTTAAATAAAGTCCAGAAGTGTTTCCTTTCCTTCTCCTTTTTTTTTTTTCCTCCCCTCCCAAGGGAGCTGTTTTCTCAAGCAGTAGCACATTATGCAACACTGATATAACAGCTGGTCTTTGTTAATCATCTTTTTAAAAATAATTTTTTGCATGTTCAGGTACGCAGCCCTGTTGACAATCAATGTATAGGTGATCTCTTAAACTTTTGAGTGAACTTGATGCTCATAAAATGATAAATTAATGGTATCATCTAGGGTAGTGGTGGTGGCGCTATACAGACTTTTCTACGTAATTTTGTTTATATTGGTCTAGGAGAAATTAATCTGCAGTTTGGATTTGCTAAACCTATCTTATTACAAAGGATATATGCCTTACTACATCAGCTCCAGGAGACAGAATGTGATCTAGGGTATCTGTAAGAGGTCAGACTGGGTAGTGCTTTCATCTTAGATATGCATACTGCTTTCTTAGCTGCTAAAAGGGGGAGAAAGATTTTTTTTTTCCACTTGTATTTTCATTAAAGCTTCTGGAAACAATCCCATCCTTTTTTGGAACTACTTTACTAGTAACTCCTCTTTGTGGGGATAAGGGGAAAATACTGTCTTCTGTAGCCCTTCCACAGCCTGTATTTTTTGGTTTTTCTTCCCCATGTTGATCTTATCTAGTGTTACTGCTGTCCCCAGCAACAGCCTAATTTTGGCATGTACTTCTGTCTACACTGACTTTGAGGCAGATGAGTATAATTGCTTAGAAGTTGAAAATTAGAAATAGCAAAGCTCTCACTGGAGTTGGAATTGTCCTTACTGGCAGTTTGTGGTGTAGTTCCACTAGAAGCGCCGAGAAACAATGAATTTTACAACTTTCTTTAAATGTCCCCAAAAGTGAACACTGGTCGTCTTTATGTACTTAAATAATTTGTATTGTGGTACTCCCTTTGTAAAATAGAGAGAGTGGCACAGACTTTCAGCAAGAAAAAACAAATGGACACACAATTCTTTTTTTTTTTTTCTCCTCCTTTCTAAGATCTTTGGACATCTAAGGATAGCTAGCATTCATTTTCATCTGCTTGCAAAGTACAAATAATAAGGCAGTCATCTGCTAGCTGTAGGAGAAAGGTGAAGGAGAATTCATGTTCTCAATTTTCTTACTGTCTGAATCAGGACAAGTTTAACTAGCCTGTTTAACGTGTTCTTAAAAACCTTCAGTAAGGGAGATTTCACAACTTTCTGAGTCATAAAAGGGCTGTTGCAAGTCTAGGGTGTGCTGTTCCTTACAGTGCTTTTCCAAACACTTGTCAAAAGAAAGGCTGCATCCCTTTTCGCCGCCTTGAGAATGAAACTGGCTGGGACGCTGCCCGCTAGTCCGTGCACTTGTTAGTACAGTTGTCCCAGGGTTATGTGGTGCTGTAAAATACTCTTTCAACTGAATTAGAGAAAACTTATCCTAATTTGGATGAAATAAAGGTGCAACTGGCTCTTTAAGCTAATACATTGATTTTTTTTTTCTTGTTAGTCTTCAGAAGTATTACCATGAGGTTTATTTTAGATGTTTTTCTGTTTTTGTTGTTTCCTTCTTATTATAAAATTGTGCTTTTTCTCAAAAAATTTGACCTTCTGTTCTGAGGAATGCTTAACAATATATTAAAGACAGTAGGAGCTTCTCTCTCTTTTGAATGCGTTTGCATTATGTGGTTTTGCAACACTTTCATATGTTAGTTTTTTTCCAACTTGCGGAATAAGAAGAGAAAGAAACATTTAAAGAAGGGGAAAAAATATAGTGGCAAAACCGCATCTTAGCAAGGGGAACTGAGGGCTAAATATGGATAGTAATTGAAACTAATTGTAATTTATTTAAAAAAAAAAAAAAAAGACCAGATCAGAAGTGGATATTGTCCCTTTGCAAATATACTTCAAATTTAAACTTAATCAAATCTTTAATAGTAAGTTTTAAATACTTTATAGAACAGTTTTGATAGCAGTTATTAAATGTTACAATCATGAAGTCCTAAAATCCCTACAAGCAATCACTTATCTCCTTATCCTATTTGCTTGTTTCAGAGTGTTTTTAATCAGCTTAATACCACGTGAAAAGTCATATATTTCAAGAGTAGTCATAGAACAGAACATGAAAAAGAAATTCCTGAGAAAACAAGCTTTGGATTTTTTCCCATGAAGATGGAGAGAGGAGAACAAAACAGAACTTTTATTTTTTGGCAAACTAAAATAGGATTCTTAGGCCTAAAGAATAATTAACCTCAGAACTAGAATCGGCAGGGTTTTTATTTGCTGCTGCTTACTAATCAAAATAATTAAAATATTTTGTTTTTTAACATGGTATTTCTGTCTGTTATTTTTAAAACCCCCTTTAAAAGTTTATGTGGGAATGAAAGAGGTGTCCTAAGGTATAGTTATGTTGAAAGAGAGGCCTGATGCTAATGTTAATAATCTGGAGAGCTCTTACTGTAGCCTAAGTTTTATTACTGTGAATTAACAAAGCATTTTAACTTCTGGAGAATATTTCACGTGTGAAAATTTTTATCTTACTTTTTTCCACGTTTTAATCTTTTAGCCTAAAGCTGCTTAAACCAGGACAAGAACCTCTGAAATACCAAGGTCCTAGAGACTTACAGACACTGGAAAGCTGGATGTTGGAGAAACTAAATGAGGAACCATCTGTAAGTTAAAAGGAAGTAGGAGGAGGAAATACTTCCTTCTACAGACTTTCTGCTCTCTAATTTATGTAGATTAGGTTTCACTTTCCAGGGGGAAATCTGCTCCTGAGAATAAAGTTCAGATGGCAATAACAATATGGAAAAGTTTCCAAATGAGTCAGAATAGGAATCAAAACTGACAGCCTATGACCTGCCCTTTGTTTCCTGTATTTAAAACTATGGTTCATAATGCCATTTTTAATCAAGTATTAGCATTTTCACATTTTAAGATACAGTTTTTTTTTTTTTGTGTCCATTCAGTTGACACCTGGAGAGCATAATGTCCTCAGAGTAAGAGAACTGATTTAGTTACAATATGATATAAATAGCGTTTGTGTTGGGCTTGGCATCCCATGTTGTTACAAGGAAGTTATCTTTAGCTCGGTTATTAGCTGATAATGTTGTAGCTTAAAGAAGAGGTTTAAAGCGGTCGGTCAAGTAAGTTTACCTAGCGTTATCATTAGGGAAACCATTGAGTTTAGGAGTAGCACTCAAATAGGTTAGTCAAGCCTTGCCTACAATTAAATTTAAAATTCCTTTTTCTAATCAAGATAAAGCTAAAATGATTGATCACAGTTAGAACATGATTTTATTTAAATAAAGTGCATGTTATGCATTTTTAACAATTAAACATTAAATGCTAAACTATTTTAAGAAATGTACTTCGAATTTTTTTTAATTTATTTCCAACTCTGACGTAGTATCTAGTAAATAGCCATTCCCTTTAGCAAAAGTGCAGTGTTTGCTGCAACGTGTCTATAAAGCGTTTGTACCTTTTCCACTGTTGCTGATCTCATGGGACCATTAGGTCCTTCCTCCCTACGTTAGAGGGGCAGAAAATAGCTTTCTCACTATCTCTTTTAAAGTAGCCAAAAGACCACTGAAACTGGTGTGGTGACAGATATGGCTGATACGTGAAGCTGTGGAGGAAAATTGTTATACAATCTAAGTGTATGAATATATGGTAATATTATGAATGTTATAGCAATTGCTGTGCATTGTGATTGTACTACAGCATGGTGAGAGGCTTGTGACTGTGATAGCTGTTTTTTATGTGATAGTCTTTCTCATAATTTGCAATCAAGTACAGGAATCAAATATAGTGTATTTACTATATGAGACAAATATAAATTTTCTTTTTCATGAATAGGATCTAGGTTCTGATGTGGAGCCACCAAAAGCACCTGAACCTAAGCAGGGAATGTATGAACTCTCAGCAGACAATTTCAAGATGCACATAGCAGAAGGTAACTATTTTTTTTCATGAGCAAGAGAGTGTCTTGCTTACAGAGACTTCAGTAGTGAGAAGTCTGCAAGAGAAATGTTAAAGGTATCCCCTTCCTACTTTCTTTTCCAATAATGCATATTGAAAGAGGATGATATGACACATTGTATACAATGCACTAGTTTCATTACATACTGCATACCATAAGACAGTTTAAGAACAGTACTCCAGTAAGAAAATAGTAAAATTAAGGCCTCTAGTCACATGGAAGAAGCAAGTTAGCTTGCTTGAGTAACCTGTCTCTTTTCCGTGAGCTCCTCACTCAGTTGCATTCTTGCCACTCACCGAGTGTTCTTGCAAGTCCTGTTTCTTCTTTCCTAGGCATTGACGTGTTCATACTCCCAAGCTGCTTTGCTAGCCAAATATAACACACCTCCCTACCCCTACCCCACTCCAGTCTGGATCCATATTTGGTGCTGTTTAGCTTCCTTCCTCCAGAATTTAATGTGGGCAAAACACCTAGCTTCAGTTTAGCCATCTGAAAACGTTTTGTCCGGAATCTTTAAAAAATAAGCCCAGATGTGGTACCTGACATGGGAAATTTCATTCCCACACAGTAGGCCTTTTAAAGAAAGGAGCAAGATCTTACAGTACAGACTTTTGGGCTATCATCACAACAGGTGGTCTTATTATCTCCCATCTTTTTTCTTAAAAGCAAAGGCCGGACTAAGTTAACTCTCTGTGCCCATGTGATACCATCATTGAGACAGATACTAAAGCTTCTTAAAGTAACCATCATTTAAAATATTAAAAATACTTTCAAGCGTAAAAGTGCATTTTGTGCCACTAACTTAAGATTTACCTGTATTTGTGACTTAACATTGAATTACATCAAAACGCTTCATGAATTTTTCCCTGAGCCTTCAGGAGCACCCTGAGCATTAAACAACAATAAGCACCGTTTTCCCAATCTGTAAATTTGAGTTTAGTGCATGTGTGAATGTCTTAAGTGTAGCCATTGGCATCTGTACGTACGTGGAGAAGGTGGTCTTACTATGGTGTTTTATGGCTGAGCAGGTTCACAATCCGTAAAGCTGTTGTCCTCTCTTGACTTCTGTCATAAGAAGTTCGGTGCTTAAATTCAGCAGCAGGCTTAGTAGTTCCAGCTGGATTGTTGACTTTTCTTCTTAATCAGTCTCCCTTTGCCTTTTTGGTGCTCTAGGACTATTTTCCTGTCAGGGAGGAGCCCAGAGCATGTGGTATAAAATAGTTATTTCTGATTAGATTTTCTTATTATTCATGGGAAATTTCATTTTGCAGTTTACTTTGCCAAAGCGAAGTAACTCAATCAGCTTGAAAGCATTCCCGGTGCAGAGTACACAAGTTAGAGTTCACTACTATTGCAGTTTACATTTCCTAGTTACTTTGTGGCATCTTTCCTCTGACTCTTCTGTGAACAAGCCCTCAGAGTAGAACAGAATTCTAGTAATGTCTGTCCCAAAGCAGTCTTCAAAGGATTACAGCTAATGCTTTTAAAAAGAGCTTTTCCCCAATTGCTCGTGTTTCCTTCAAATGCATTTTTTTGTTTGTTTTGATTATGTTCATTTTTGTATTGTATTAATAGAGCATTACCTTGATGTGTGCAAAAGCATGCAGCATCTGGAATGAATAGTAATCTTAATTGAAGGAAATTAACATATTCTGGTGCTCTTCAATTAAGTTTATGCTTTTAAACTAAGCATTAGCATGAGATAGTAAATTTTTGTGGTGTTCCATAGAGAGGAGAGTCTGTACTAGCAACAGCAATTTCTGAATAACTAACATGAAAATACAAAGAGCAGGGCAGAAGAGGAGAGTTATAAGCTTAACTAAATTATTTGCGTAGCTTAGACACTTGATGCAGTGATATTTGCTTAGAAACGTTTAAGTTGAAGTCTAATGCTTACATTGATTTGTGCTGTTATAAATACATAGTCCTTTGTGGTTCTTTCTACTCTGTAATTGTGCAAGTGATTGACTTGGTAGAATTAGAAATTTTAGCAACTGATTAAAAATATCATCATTTTAATAACTTATTTGTTGGCTTGGAGTTGTGAAGCTGTTCAGGATTTCAGAGAAATTGGCAAGGCATACAAGTGGGACTGCATACAATATTGAAAACCTAATTGCTGAATCAGTATTCTCTCCTTGCCTTTATTCTGCTTTATTTCCTATCTCTGCTCGGTAAATATATTTGCAGTCTGCGATTACTATCTAGTCCTTTAATTGTAGCCAAATTCATTCCAAATGAGTTAGATCCATTTCTTTTTTTTCCTGATTCCAAAGGTAATCACTTTATCAAATTCTTTGCCCCCTGGTGTGGTCATTGCAAGGCTTTGGCCCCAACGTGGGAACAGCTGGCTCTAGCATTTGAACATTCGGAAGCTGTCAAGGTTGGCAAGGTTGGTGAAGTGCTTTTTTCTTAATCTGTTTTATGTGAATGACTGTTTCAGCCCAGTATCATGCTGTCCATTCTGTGCTTGCAAATAACAATTTAGTTTTGTTTGTCACTTGGTAAGCCCTTTTATCTTTATACTTCTTATTTTAACTTTGAGATGGCTTTTTCTTACACATCCAAAGATTTAGCTCACTTTATTTTGAAGAGATGGCTAATTTGTTACCACTGACAGGACTTGCCCTTTTTAAGCAAGGACTTGACAGAAATGTTGAACGCAGCTCCCTGTGTTTCAGAGATGTAAAGGAATAAGTCAGGTACTTTAGGTGATGGGAATAATATTTTGAGAGTTGCTTTTTTATTATGCTTCCCCTTTGTCAAAACCTGATAGACTTCAGTATTTATTTGGAGCAGGAAAGTACTTATACTGGTTTGCTGTTTACATCACTGGATTTCTTTTTAGGTCTACAGGGCCTAATGATGAGTTATTTCTTTTTTTTCTTTTTCTTTTTTTTTTTTTCCTCTCTCTTCAGCCCCCAGAGAGCTTTCTAAAAGTTTCAGGTGGTCTTCCACCTTAAAAACTGATATCTTGTCCTGCTTTACTATTTTCCTTAGGGATGTTAACCAGATTCTGTGGTGTATTTACCATGGGAGCTTGTTACTTGTACGTGGAGTGACTTCTATGCAGAGGTATGGAGGTAGTGCTGCAACTGGAGTTACTCACTTTATTTACTGACCCATACCTAAGTCCAGGTGGCTGATGATGTGAATCCCTCTGTATCTGACAACAGTGGAAAACCTACTGGGCCTGATTTCCATATCCTTAAGCCTTCAGATTGGCTCTGCTAATCTGAAAGAGAGCATAACAGTTAGCAGTGCTGCCTCTCTTGCAGAGGGACAGAAAAGCTGCAGGCTTCCCTGTCTCTGCACTAATAGCACTTTCAGCTATTGCTGGGGATGATGAGCTTTATTGCTTTTTTCTGTAAAGTGTTTTTTTGAAAGTCCTTTGACTCGGATACACTGTAAAGGTACAGAGCAGGTCAGAGTGGTTAAACTGTAGAGAGGAACATACATCATTTTGAAACCTGGTGGATATAAAATTAGATTTTTTTCTGAGATTAATGTATCACAGAATATTGCTCATTTGATACTGTTTGTACCAAATGTAGCATGTGCTGATTTACTTTTTGAGAATCTGGAAAGCTTGCTGTATGATAAAATCATTGCTGAGCTTAAGTATCTTCTTTGAAGCTATCATTCTCTGATATCCAGAGATCTACAAACCAAAAATGTCCGAAATTTTTTGTTTTAATCAGTTCTCTGTTGTATTCAAGCATTGCACAGTTACTCTTACTGATATTTGCTATATAATAAAGCCTCTAAAATTTGTCCCAATGTTTGGTCAATTTTGTGTAACTGCATACATTATGAAATTATGTGAAGCATGTCCTTGCTAAGATTATAAGTCTGTAAGCAAACAGGAAACGCAACTGTGTCTAAGAAGGTTGAATGATGACCTTCATGTAATCTGGGGGAATAGTGTCTTAATAGTGAAGCTATCTACTGGCAAGATTCTGTGTAATCTTTGTAATTGATCTTCAGTGATCTGGAGCAAAGTGTTTCTAATGTAAGATTCAAAATCCAAGTGCTCTGCCGAGCAAAGGCCCCCTTGCTTCCATTACCTTTTTCTTTCTTTTGAAAAAGATTATAAACTGGTGACTTTATAGATTGGTATATGGAAAATTAGAACTGGATGTCGCTATGCGCTTGGAATTTCCCTTGGAATAAAGTTAACTTATCAGCTGTTGACATATCTTCTAATTTTAAAGAGTGGTCTTATTTGTAGAGAATGGGTGAGCCAATAGATCTTCGCTTTGAAGCTCTCTCATATTAGCATTTTTAACCGTCCGTGTAGTGATTTTATTCACTGAAAATACCAGCATTTATTTTAATTGGAATATTTAATTATGTTCTCATTTTTCTTTGCTACTGTTTCTACTACCTTCTGTCCGTGTCAGATCTGTGTTCTCCCCTCTGCCCCTCCAAACAAACACGCACAGCTTCCCAGTTAGGCAACCAAACCACTCTTTGGAAGGCAGGCATAATAGTTATCAAGACATTATTTGGTACTGACTTTTGCCAGGGTGCGTGTTGCTTGCTCCTGTATTTTTCTGAGATTTTAAACTTAAAGGAGGGTATGATTCTTGTTGAGTGCTTATTTTACGCACTAAATGATTTATAATTCTTTTCAAAATGTAGGTTGATTGTACCCAGCATTACGAAGTCTGCTCTGAAAACCAAGTTCGTGGCTATCCCACTCTCCTCTGGTTTAGGGATGGTGAAAAGGTGAGTCTGGAAGCTCTCCAGAAGATCAGACCATTTTTTCCTAAATTACGATAGTATCGGAGTTGTGCTTGCGTCCTAGGAGAAAAGATAAAATGGGCATATAAAAATCTTGTGAGAGAGTCTGAAGGTATTGGAGGTTCAGTCTGGTACTGGAAGAGGTACGCTTGAGCCGCATTGATCCACAAAATTTAGAGGATGTTGATGCTTGTGGTTGGTAAATACCGGTAGGGTATTCATAAATCTATAGGCAGGATCTCCAAGTACGGAACCATATGAGAGACTTCTGGGTGTACTTTATCTTAACAGTTTATCTCCTGTGGAACACAAATAAAATATATGAACTAGAAATAATAAAAGGTTATGCAGTCTTCCGCAGCGTGTATCTGAAGGTTCACATCTGTAAGTGGTGCCTATCTGCCAGTGTCTGAGAATGCAAGTTCATCATCCTACAAATATGAGCACTTGTTACGATACCGGGAGAGTCCTGTGCCCCCAGCTGACCTTTTGCCTAGTAGCAATTCAAAGGCTTATAATATTCTGAAGAGTTTTGGGGAAGTAAAATATTTAAAGTACCACGTTCATGAACAACAGCAAATAAATATTCCAAATAGTAGTGTTGTTTATCATATATTTCACATTTTTAAGATACTTAAAAGTCATTTACTTTAATAGATTTAAAAAATAGTCCTGCAAGCAGAGAACCCGGGACTTTCCTTTTAGCTCTTACTAAGATCCAGGGTTTTTTGTTTCCTTGCCACATTCATCTTGCATTCATTTTTCCACAGCTACGGTACAAGAGCTGTAAGGTTTGCTACTCGGTCCAGTTTAGTGGCTGTTGCTTGGGGCAGTTTTCTAGGCGCTCCATGGGGCACTGCAGCTTGTTTCCCCTCTTCTGGAGGCAGATGTTCTGACTGCTTGGAAATCAGATAAAACGTATGCTTCCGTTTCTCCCAGATGTGCTTCTAAAAAGAAAGTGACTATAAGTACATGCAAACACGTGAATTTTGGTATAAGCACACCTATAAGATCAGGCAACCCAGGGAACTTCAATGAAGAAGCACTTAGTGTTGTGCATCCCAGCCTGATTCATATAGAAGATATGGGGCCTTGTTACTGCTCAACCAGCTGTGCCTGGCACATGTCAGAAGCAGAATCTGAAGCTCTGAGAGAGTGCTCAAGTCAGACAGGGTGGCATGTCCAGTGTTAGAGGTATTTTCAGTTAGTTAAAATTCCATCTGTATGTGGTTTGGGTGTGAAGAACAGAAACGCCCTGATACTCCAGCATGGCTTTCTGAGCTGCTTTGTGCTGCTGTCTTCAGGTGCTGTACCAAGAGGGATTTTTTCGGATAGCCATAGATGGCAACGTACCTTGCCAGAACCATAATATCTTGATGTAGAACAGTTAGCTGTGCATTTTTGTGACAAGCCAGATCAGTATTTTTTGGACCTTTTGTCAATTATTGAAGTTTAAGTTGCTCTGAGTTACGTGAATCAAGAATGCAGTGAAAGAAAAAAGTCAAATCACTGCCGTTGTGTTTGGTAAGGGCGAATCTCAGCCGTTAGCCTGAGCAATGTATTTCTTTTGACAACAAACTGGCTTTTCTCTGTTGGCAGTGCGGTATTCCTTGGTGACGTACTGCCATCAGAATCACATGTTCCTCTTTGGATTGGTACAATATACTTAAAAGAAAAACGCACAAAAAAACAACTTTCCAGTAATCTGACCCAGAAATTCCTGGAAATCTCTCTAGCTACTATTGTACCCTGTTCAGTAAGAAGGGGGAGGAGGAGGACCGCCTCAGCCATCCAGCATTGTTGTCTGTAATTCCATCACTCTGTTGTCATAATTGAAATCTGGCATCACACCATCTGTGTTGGTTAGAGGTAGTAGAAACCCATGGAAGAAAGGAAGGGCATTAACCCTGCTTTGCTGAAATGGATACGAGCAAGCAGGTACAGGCTTTTTGTGTGACTGTTAAGTGAATTCCTTTGTCATTTAGACCCAACGTGGGGAAGATGACTATATTTAACGTATGAATGACAAAAGAAGGAAAATCTGTAGAAAGAGCTCTGAGGACACAGGAAATAGTTGAAGAGGCGTATCTGTTCTTCGCCCTAATGTATGGAAGTTTGTATGCTGTGTTTTGAACAGTTATTCCTCATCCGAAAGACTTCATTATGTATCTTGTAGCCCACACTTTATGAGACTGAAATTCGAGTTGCATCCGAAATGGATGTTTTGTGTCTTCAAAGAGATCATCACTCTTTTGAACAGAGAAATTGATGAACACTCAAGTCGAGATAGCCAAGGGTAATCATTTAAAAGTCAGTTTTGAGATGGAAGACAATGGATTTGAAGCTATCAACTGTTCAAAGGGATTGTGATTTCTTGACCTCTGGAATCATGTAAATATCTGAGATACAGAGAAGCATTTGAGGCAGACTGTGGTTTCTAGAAGATGTAGCTTGTTGAAGGCTTTATGTGCAGGTTCGGAAGCGTGGCTCAGCTTTCATCACAGAGTGATCCTGTTGGAGTTGTCTGCTCCACAGCAAATGCTTGTTCTCTGCTCCCGGGTGAACTTAAACATCTAGAGAGCATTGCCTTGCTGTAGGGATATGGGTTTTCCAAGGATCTATGACAAATGTATGAGCCAGAGGAAGGACTGGGTAGTCAGGTGATGCGCATGTCAGTCTTTCAGCCCTGTCAAAGCACTGAACAGAGCTCTCATGGTAACAGAGGAGACTACCAAATAGCAATGGGTATTTTATTACTCCTCGCTGTAGCTTTAGGTTCACAAAAACAAAATTTGGGCTAAGGGAGAGGTGAAGATCAAAATGAAATTGTTTCTAAAACTTGCTTTTAGATATTCACTTCTGAAGTATCTTTCATTTACAAGAGATTTTAGATTTTCTTTTTGGTACAGAAGAACCTATGGCAAATCCTGAAGAGCTGGAATGAATGGAATGCCACAGAGAGGTTTAAAGACTAGTTAATCATATTTATTATGAATATGCATACACTCAGCAATCTTACATTTTTCTGGTAATTATTTATTTGCTAAATTAACTATATATACACACCTGCACAAACTATTTGATAATTGTAGGGTGACCAGTACAAAGGAAAGAGGGACTTCGATTCCTTAAAGGAATATGTGGATTCCCAACTACAGAGCTCTCAGAAAGAGCCACCAGCAGATAAACCCACTGAAGCTCCACAGCCATCTGCAGAACCCGCCCATGTTGAGGTAGGTGCTCCTGCCGCTCTGCAGTTGTATTAAGTGTTCAAACTGTTGCAGCAGCTTGTCCCCATCTTCCATGTGTTTACATCTTTGATAGCACGGCAATTTCTAACTGTAAACTACCAAATATTTTCCTGGTTACTTTTAGCAATTAATGAGTGGAATCAGATCATAAATCTTGTTTCTCCTTTTTTACTAACCTGAACAACTGAAAAATGTAAAAGAAAAAAGCTGCCTCTTGTTTAAGGTTTTAATTGGTTGTTTAGATAGAGTGGCATAAATGTGGTCTTCTCTTTTCTACTGAGCTGTGGAACCTTAGTCCAGTGACAGCATAATTCGTTGTCGTGGAGATGAACATGACTTGCAAAATTCTGACTTGAACCAAGGAAGATGGCACATCCCCAGTTTAAAAAAAAAAAAAAAAAAATCCTAAACTTACAGACTTATCTCCAAAAATGACAAACGACCAGAAATTATGTAGACCGCCTTAAATGCGTGAGGGTAAGGTGTGTTGTGGCAGTAACACTCCCCAGGTTTAGAGGCTTGTTCTAATGGCGTTTGTAGGAGCTAGGGGGACTGAATATTGCCGAGGAATAGTTTGTAAACATAAACTGTTATCAAGTCTGGAAAACACATTTCCTCTGCCCAGAAAATAATAGACGGTGATTTATACTGCCTCTTAATGCTGAATGAACTTAGGAAATTAAAAAGTATCAATATTATTAGCACAAATATCGTCTATATGCACCTTCTCATAAGAGAATATTGCCTTTCCCTTTTGACTTTTCCAGTTGGGTTACTCATCTTACATAAAGTGACCTTAAAAAAGTGATGTTAGGTTTCCAGTTTTCACGCCCCTCAAAAAGTAATTTTTTAAATTAACCTTATATTTGGAAGATACGCTTGTGTTAGCACAATGCAGAGAGTAGTTATTCTTTTTTTTATTTTTCGAGATGTAACATAAACCACATGTGCTATAAATTCCCACTTATGCCTTGATTGTGCCAGCACACGTACAAAACAGGAAAGGATTGTGGGGGGATTTTCGTCAAACTGTATTAGATGCAGTGAAGGACTAAACTTAGGCCTTTGCAACTTTACAGCCCAGCTTTGGATGCCACTATGTTTTGGTTCCTTCCCTTCAGGCACCTTTGTTCTGGTTTTGTTTTTGCAAGTTTTGAAACAAGGGGCTAGCCCATGTAGCCAGCAAACACTGACTATATTTACCATCAGCAGCCAGCAACTGGTTCCACGGGCAGCAAAAGCAATGAGTTCTGACTCCAAATGTGTCTCCCAGTGATAAGCCTCTCTGTGGATCCCCCCATGTCTAATAAGGGCCAAGTACATGGCAATCTTTTTTTTCACAAAAGTTATAGGAATTTTTATATCTGTGAGACTTCTACTGTTTTGTCAAACCTCATTAAAATTAGTCAAAAATGACCCTGAAATATTAGGGGAGAGTGACTAGCAGGTGTTCAGATTAAGTGATTGCATAAACTGCCTTTTCTTAAGAAACTAGGCTAAAATAGATTTATCTGATATTAAAGACTTATTTTTGAAGATAGGTCGTTCGTAGTGCTGTTCTGATAGTAATCTACAGATCTTTAAAATGTATTTCACTGTGTGGATCCTGGGAAGGTCCCTGTTGATGGGGTTTTCAGACTTGATATCTTGGACTGTAAACGATGTTTAGAACATCTGTTTTAGTTATCCATTTAGGAATTTCAGAACAGAAGAATATGTATTTACTGATCACTTCTGCTTCATTTAATAATTTGTAATTTCTTCATTTAATAACTAGAAAGTGTATTTCCTGACTTTGCAATAAATTTTTAGAAGGGATAATACTTTATCTTAATAAAAAAGTCTGATTTCATTAGCTCCCAGGCATTCACTGAAAACGTTTAAACCAGTGCCTTTAATCTGTAATTTTGAATCTCCTTTTGGCTTCTCTCCCTAACACTCTTATTGCAATAAAAATAGAACTGATATTATTGTCAGTTGCTCTCTTTTCCCCTTCTAGCCAAATCTGAAGCTGTTTCTAAACAAGAGATTGTTGTTTATTATTTTATTTGAATACCTTCCATCCTTAACAGTCTTGTACAAAAATGAAGTCTTGTTATTATACTGTGCTCTCATACAGTGTGTGTGACTGTAGGTAACATGATGTCCCCCTTTCACTCCCATACCATTACTCCTGAAATTAAGAGGAGTAAAAATTCTTCAGGACGTCCATGTGAGGGTGGTGTGATGATTTTCCTTTTGACAGGCATTTCTCTACATCTTTGTGAGCGAAGAAAGCAGCTGAAGGGTAGAAGTGAAGTATGCTGCTGCTACTGTTGTTATATCACCAGTGAATTTTTTTATTTTTTTATTTTTTGAACAGGCTACAGTGCTCTCCCTCTCCGAAAAAGACTTTGATGAAACCATTGCTAAAGGGATCACTTTTATTAAATTCTATGCTCCATGGTAAGCAATTTGTATGCATTGTTCACAATTATTGCTATTCTAAACTGTTTGTGCAGTTTGAGTTCTATGTAGTACTACTATATTTGTTGTCTGGAACTAAAATGTGAGTTAATTGGAGAATGCGTGTGCTGGTAAGAATTACAACAGAAAGGCTCGATCTGTGTTAGCTTGCTTCGGATTCTTCTCTGTTGAAAAGCTGTCTGATGGAAAAGCTTTATTGTGTCAAGCTCCAGGTAACGTAAGGAAACAAGGTGAGTGAAACTTCCTTTGCAGGCTTAGCATGCTCCTACACCTTAATTAAGGAAAGCTTAGGGGAGCCTGTCAGGCAGCGCTGGTTGAGCACGGAGAACATGCTGGCATTTGGGTCCTGACCAGCCACAATCGACTTCTGTTGGAAGCCTCATTTAATCACCTGGGAGTTGTTACAGACTGTAGAGGTATGGATAGTGGGCTATCCGTTAAGTGACAAAAACTATTTTGCACAAGTGACAATTTCTAGACCTTTTTAAGATTATGTTCCATGTAATGTGTTCTTATAACAACCTAGGGTAGGAAGGACTGATGCATGTGGCTTTGATGTAGACATCCAACGGAAAGTGCTGGGGAAGAAAATTAATGTCCTGTCTCGCATCTGCCATTACCTGCATATCCAGCAGAGCTTGGGATCCAGTAAGACCCCAGTATTACAAACTCACTGAACAAATATTTCCCCCTTTTCTTAGTATTCCGAGACAAAAGGAAGGTTTAAAGTTTCTCCCTCAGGTTTATAGACTTAATATTACTTGTATCTGGATTGAACTCCAGTAAATTTGCTTGCTATCTTTCTCATCCATTGCCCAGTCTCTTAGCCACTAGAAAGAAGCCTGGTGTAGGCGCTGTGATGAAGATGAAGCTGTGTATGAAAGGTAGCACATCTCTGATGTCATCACTAGCCATCCCATTAATGCAAGATTTTGACAGTACAGAAAGATCTTTTGTCCGTGGTGATAAAGGGTCACCATTACAAAGCAACGCAGGCAAATGCAGCCTGTGCTCAGGAGTATAAAAATATTGCTCCTTAACTTTGACAGGACGCATGAATATATTTCTGATTTTAGGTAATCTAAATGATGGCAGTTTTCTCCAGTGTTGTCACCCCTTTTTTTAACCACTGTATGGTTCATCCCCACCCCAACTTCATGGTTACTGCTTTTTCTTCGCTCCCTTTATCCTTTCTGTTTATTATTGTCAGGGGTCGAGATGAATTCTGTGCTCTGCTCTGCTACTGCGTTCCCGGTAGAACTGTTTGTTAAATTCAGTTTACACCTGTGCACAAGGCAGAAAGATTCTAGTTTGATTTCTGAACCCAGGTCTTGTTTGCAGATGTAGAAGTTCATTACCTGACAAGCTTTTTCTGGAAAAGTTTGGGATAAACAAGTGATCCCTTTCTAGCAAAGCTTTTTTAACAGTACTGCACTTTAACCATCTCCTCCTCTTGTGAGATTCTAACAGGGTGTTGCTGGTGCTCACAAACATTATGAGTGTCAGATGGCAAGCTGAGAAACAGAGGTTCAGGATGTGTAGCAAAGGAATAAGTTCTTAACCGGTATAGTCGCCCTGGCTGCAATAATCAGAAACCCGCTACCTAGGAAAATACTTTCTATATTTGTGTAGCTGGTATCCTAGTTTTAGCTCTGGAAGTCATGCTGTGTTTGCAGTTACAATGCACTGCATATAAATGACCTTTTTCTCTTCCAGCTGGCTTAACTTATGTTGGGATCAGCAAACACTATTATGTTGCTTGCTACTTCTATCCTCCAGTTAGTTTTGGATAAATATTAATGTTAACTTGCATAATAACTACTAGAACAGGATGATTTTATGCTTTTTTGTGTGGTCAAAAATTCTTTTATACTGTCACAATTTATTAACAAGGTGGCTTAAATATAGACTTAACTGTACTAAGCAGCTGCATTTTTGTGAATGCTCTGATTCAGCCTTACGGCAATTATAGGGCTGCTCTAATAACCCAGTTAAGGTGCAACAACTGCGTTAGAATAAAATGAGCAATGTAGCTTTAAAGGCTAAAGTGCTTTGGGAATTCTTCTTGAAGGCTTATGAACTTGGTTAAGTCAAGTTCAAAATACAAACAAAATTAATTCTTTCCTGTGGTTTCTGCCATTTTACAGTATTATTTTCTCTCTTGACATTGGTGTTTCAGTGTGTGTACTCTGTGGACTGCATTCTCGCATTACTGTAGGGACACAGCAGATTAAAGTGAAAATAGGATTTTTGGTATTATGGATGAAATAACGGGAATTATTCTGTATGTAAGGCAAATCAGAATAGAGCCTGATTTTTTTTTTTCTTTATAAGTAAAGCGTATTGAGTAATAAACAACTTTCAATTGTAGATATATCTGAAAGTACAGTGGTAGTGGTTAAACTTCAAAGGAAGTGAAATTTTTTCCCAGAAAGTTTAAACTTTCAGTGAAAAAGTGCATTAAACTATTGGAATGTTCCTTAAAAACAGAATCTGTATTGAAAAAAGCGTCTATTAAAATTGAGTTTCCAGTATCAGTAAATGCTATATTGCTAAAGGAGGCAGTTAGGAATTAGAAACAAGTCAGCAAGGAAACTAAAATCTCATTTAAATAATTAAATATGTTACCATACATTTAGGCTTTGTAGCTTTAACTTGACTAACATTTACTACCTGAAAAACTAATACTAATTCACTGCTGGGAAAACTTAACTTGTACTACGTTCTGTAGCCTGTTTAAGACATGTTCGTTTCTAAGTGATCTTATTTTTCATTTAAGTATCCCGTGTTCTTTATTTGCTTTTATACTCTTCTTTAGAGTAAAATGTTAATGCACTGACATCCAGAATACCATTTCAGAAGAGACTAATGAAGGCCAGACACTACTTTAGTGCTTAACTTACTTAAAGTCACTCATTTGCCTAGTTCATTTACTGACATAATAGCATAAGGGAGTTGGAGGCCCAAAGCATTTGGAGGTAGGAAAGGCAGCTAGTTAAACTTACCGTTATCACAGTAAGACAGCAGAGATTAAATTAGAAGGTATATCTGCTAAACAAGTACCTCTCTCTGTTTCTAGGTGTGGCCACTGTAAGAACTTGGCTCCAACTTGGGAGAACCTTGCCAAAGAGCAATTTCCAGGTTTGACTGATGTCAAAATAGCAAAAGTCGACTGCACTGTGGAACGTAACGTCTGCAACAGATTTTCTGTAAGTGTGAAAGATCTGAAATGAATTGGATGATACTGTACCAAATGCTGGAGGCTCTAGCATGCAGTCTAGCTGGCTGGCTGTGCAGCTTTGTTCTCTGTTAGCAAGAAACTGGTAGTCCAGAACAGCGACGGGTGACACAGTGTCTTTCCTAGATTGTTTTTTCGCTTGTTCTCATTACTGGATGAAGTTGACAGAGTCCCTAATTTAAGAACTTCCCCGCTGTGAAAACACCAATGCAGTCTTGTGGCACCTGTTGAGAAGTTCTTTTCTTAGAAAAAAAGATGGCTTTCGGTCTGGTACCCAGACAGTTATAAAGACAAAGCTGGAGCTGGTGTTTGTAGTCGTTAATGAAAGAGCGTAGAGGAACATGTACTTTCCCATTTACTTATAAATTTTCAGAACTTATAGCTTGGCACTGAAAGCTGATTGTGTGTGTGTGTTTTTTGTTTTGTTTGCTTTTTTTTAATTAAAAAGGCTTTTTAGAGTGGTTTGGTGGCTTTTCAGAATCAAGTAAATACAAGTTAAGGATACTAGTGATTTAGAAATAAGTTACAAGTTTCTTTTCTTTTCTTTTCTTTTCTTTTTTTTTTTTTTTTGTAAGGTACGTGGTTATCCTACACTTCTGCTTTTCCGAGGTGGAAAGAAAGTTAGTGAACACAATGGAACAAGAGATCTGGAAGCACTGCATAGCTTTGTTTTGCGTCAGGCAAGGGATGAATTGTAATAAAAGTCTCGCTGCTCCATCCCTGGCTGTCTTCGTACAGTAGTGGAGGGATTTAAATCATTGCCAATTTTCAAATAGTGTATGGGGGTACTGGGGCAATTTTTTTGTTTGTTTTGGGGAAACTGAATGTATTAAACATTGGTATCTTCCCTCTGTGTGTGTGTTAAAGACATGTCCTACCCTGTTTGTGAAGGGAAATGAACAAGTACTTACTGTGCAAATGGAGAACGTCTTCAGCTTTAGTAGTGTTACTGCATCTCTGTGTTACTGCAGTGAAGTGTAAATGGTTTCTTTTGAGACTAAAATACATTAGGGGAAGCAGTAATATTTTTGTCATCCGGTTGGATTTGGTCAAAAAGTAATCCTTACAAACTGCCCACCATTACTAGAAAGGTAAAAGCTGCAGCTGTGTTAAATTTTGCCTCTACAACAGTAGTTATAACCTATTTGTCTTAATATAGCTGCTGGTTAAGAAATGGAAAGTCACAGGAGGTTGAAAACACACACACCTTTGGAAGATACCAGGCCACCATGAGCTGGTTGTTTCCTGTTAATCCTCTCAGCATGGGAGGTCTAGCCATAATGAAAGTAATGGTACTGTAACACGTGCCTGAACGTTACTGATGCCACAGTGTACATATAGCAGATGGATTTTTGTAGGCTGCTTCCGTCCAACTCCAGAGGAGTAACTATGGGCTATTTATATCGAGCTGAAGTGACGCTTCAGCTATTATAGGCACTATTGTAACTACTCCGTTAATACTAAATGGTCAGTTAGATGTTAGAGCTGATGACATGAGTTTCCTACCCTCACTGGAATCCAGACTTTGGGCTGACTTGTTCCCTAAGTATTCTGAATAAGGAGCAACAAGTAGTACAATGTTTAAATTTTCCATTCAGCCGTATTACAGTAGTCTAAAATAGTTCCCCCTTCCTCTTGAGCCTTAACCTTTTTCCAAGCTATTACTATTGATATGTTTGGAATGGTAGACCTATGCGATCTGTGTTGCCTTGGATTATAATATGGATCTATTCTTTGGTGCATAAGATGTTCCATGTTAGATATAATTGAAAGCCAAAGAATTTCCACAGCAGATATTGTTAAAATGCAATGACAATAGCAAACCGAGGACTGAATTCTGCCATCTCATGTACACAGAAACTCATGGAATGAGTGTGGCTACAGGCTAATTTGACAGATCTGTCAAGATACTGATTTTTGTCCATCATATGGAGTAGTGTTTGTTTTTGTTTTTTAAAAAAAGAAACAACAAATTTATAAATCAGTAAATTTCTCTTAGTACTTCACTTGACTGTTTGTCAAGAACCATTGGTTCTGTTCAATCTAAAACTGCGTAAGGGGGAAAAATCCACAATGAAAGCTAAGTATTGTACTGGCAGATGTATTAGATCAATGTCTTTACTTCTGCCTTAAAGGAAGCCTTTATTATCACGTTTTTAACAACTTTCTAGTGAAGCACAATCTCATGAGTTTCTTGTATAAAATCAAAGTGGTACAATTGTTTACACTGAGATTTTTTTCTAAATAAAAACTTTTTAAAAAAGCAGTCTTTCTATAAATGATACAGCACAATGAATATACAGTGACAAGTGCAATAAATTATAGCTTGTATTTACAAGAAGCCTTTTAAATGCAAGAATTAGAGGTAAGTGCATTTAATACAAGTTTAATATTGATCAAAACAATCAGTTTGCGATTAGCTTCTGCAAGACAAATTTCAAGCCCAAAACTGTGGCTACAGTGTGAATGTATTCTTTAAACCAGTTTGTTAGTTGCCTGGGTTGAAGGGGAAAAGTTGGCCAAATACTAGAATACTTTGTTGACATTCTGTCTTCCTGTAAATAAATTGTCCAACTAGAGAATGAATGGCCCAAAAGAAAACTTCTGTGTCTGACTTAAAGCTGTAGAAGGGTCCTACCTTCCTTCCTTCCTTCCTGGGCAAGTGGTAGTAGATGAGGCAGCTGCCAGGTGCAGAGTGAAAGGAAGTCACATAAGAACAAGTGTATAAAGTTACTGCCCAGTCAGATAGTGAACTGAGAAGATCATCCTAGTGCTTCTAACACAGGATGCAGCCATGCCACCTTACACTTGCCGCATCAGACTTGCACTGTGCTTGGAGAATAAGGGGACTTCAAGACTTGCTTTGGCACAATTTAAGATGCTTGTTATCAACACAGATGTCAGAAGGAGACTAACAGTATTAGGTGTAGTAACTGTTCCTTCCAGACAAAAGGCAATTCCTAACCTTAGTCAGAACTGCAGATTGTCTTGCACAAGATGCACAGTCTAAGGCTGAAGACCTAACAACGCTTTCTCTACTCTAGCTTCCCCTTCTCCCCTTTCCTACCCTCCCCTCCACCCCTGGAAAAAAAAAAAAAAAACCCTCACTGGTTTTGGGTCTTGGGTTGCCCGTTTGGTTAAAAATGAAGTACATGTCCAAGCAACTGAAAAGGCCAAGCTGCTGTGTGAGATTAAGACCGTCTCAGCTAGGTACAGTGTGTGTGGGCAGACTGCTGCTTTGCAAGCCCAGGCCCTGCAGAGCTGAATGGCTCTGTGATGTAGGGGCAGTTTTTAAGAACTGCAGCAGTTTTCTCCCACTACAGAGTGGGGCCCAAACCGCGTCCTCTCACAAGGCACATAAATGGTGTTTTAAAGGGTGTTTCATCACGATTATTTTTCCAAGGTCAGGTAGTTCTGGAAGTACAGAAGGTAGTAGTGAAGTTCGTGGTAGAATCACAGAGTCCATGTGAAGACTGTTTGTCAGTGACATCCACAAGCTCTTACTACCATATTCCTGTATTTCTTCAAGATTACATTAGAATTATCATCAAAATAAAGAACTGATATGGCATTTAGTTTGGTAGGTGCACAGCATGGTTTGGGAACGTAATCAGGATTCATAAGATGAACCTGTTGCCAAGAAAAGAAAACACAGTTCATACAGTGATTTGTTTAAAAATTCACCTCTTGCTTTGGCACAGATCTTGGTGGAGACTTACCAGAGTTTGTACAATGGCATGATTGGTTGCGTTCATATGTGCATTGAGTGGAAAAGAGCATTCTCCATCACAGTAGTTGGCTGCATAGCCCTTTGGAGCGATTATCCAGTCCTTTTTAGGAAACAAATAGAACGTGATTTAAATTAAGAAATTGCCAGCTTGTACAGACAACTGCATGCAATTAAGAGCAGTTGAAAAATTTCCACCAACTTCTCTTGAGGGTGAAAATGTGTTTTCACTAAAACCAAGTATTTGTGAGCTATGACTTTTCCATGGACACACTGATTTTTAATGTCCAAAGAATGGGGCACTCCTCTGCACAGCTTAACTGCCATGAACTAAAACCGATTTATTTCTAGAACTGTTGCGCTGGTGCCTTGTGGGAATTGTGGTGTGGATGCCTTTGTGTGGCAACGTTTCCTGCAGGTTAGGCCCTCTGGCTGAACTACCTTTCCTAGGTTGGATCGCAGCCTCAGCTGGTCCTCCCGGCAGGAGAAAACAGTGCACACGTACACACACACCCCTCCAGAATGGCAACATAAAACACTGCTGTGGTGCCCTACAGATGCTGTACCTTAAATACTTTTACAAGGATGTCAGTCTGCCATGGAGAATGTAACATGTTTAATTTGCATAACTAACTAACTGCTTTCTCCACCTCAGCCACATTCCTAACAGGGGACAGCCTTCTTGCTCTGCACCTGCAAGCAGATGATGAGCCTCAGGTGGTAAGGCTGTGTGCAGTGCCATGGAGGAAGGTGAAGCATCTCCTGACCTCCCTGCCCACCCCAAGCTTTTCTGCTGCTGACACAAAAGAGCCAAAGGTAAATTGCAAATAGCAGTTGGCCCTTGTGTTAATAGTCCAGAAAGACACATCGCCAATTACCATGAAAAGTTTCTGCTCCCTCAGCGTCAGGCTCGGCAAGTCACTGCAGGAAGAAGTAGTACAGGTACACCTCACATGCACATAGTTCTTGGAGTATTTCCCCTTTACTTGACACCAAATACCTGGGCTAGCTTGAACTGGGCTAGTTTAAAATCTAGAAACAGTATAGTAGTAGGGCTGAGCCATCAGAGACTGTTGCTGAAGCTTTGCTAAGCAAGCCTAATAGTTGAGTGCTAACATGGGTATACCTAGGCATAGCAAAACCACCCCTTCATTCTAGTGCATTGACTCACTCATAATTTGCTCCGGTTTAACCAGGCTGCTCTTCACAGGACGTTTGCTCTCCTAACATGGAAGCCATTACTGACTATGTAAATAAATTTGTGGTTTAGTGTGGTGTAAAGATAAAGGGAAAATTAGGGGTGCACTGAAAGGCTGGGGTGAGTGCTGGCTATACTTCTTTTTAAAAAAAAAATAAAAAAAGGTTGCTGTTCTGAAGGAGTTAGCTGTGCCCAACAACAGGAGGGGTTTGCTGCCCTGCCTCGTTCATGGCCCCTTCACCCCACAACAAGTGGTTGCCGTACTTGAACTCAAAACTCCTGCAATAGGCCTTGCTGGTCTGCCACCAGCCTTTGGCAGCATTTTACTTTTTTTTTTTTTTTTTGGTTCAAGCCAGCCATGAAAAAGGTGAAGGCAGTGCCTTTGAGGCTGTGAACACTGACTTTGGGTTGGAATTAGGAACTTCAGAACTGGAATATGCTTCCTAACTGGAAGCAGGGCAAGTTAGCTAATAAGAAGGAGGAGCAGGAACGACTGCACGTAAGCAAAAGGCAGCGGCACAAGCACATAATGGGGTCTGGAGTCAGCCATCCGCTACAAAAAATGCTGCTGTCCCATTAGCTGAGGACTGGGCCTTCAGGTGCTGGGTATTAAAAAGCAGCAGCGGCAGCCCTGGGATCTTATCTTGAATTACAAGCCACAAAAACCTTAACTGACAGAAACAGGACCTCCCTAACAAAAACGCGGAATGACAAAAATAACAAGGAAGCTGAGGCCATTCTCTGAAATACTACATTTGATGACGCTACGGATTGGCCCTAAATAACTGGTCCTAAACACCCCTCCGGCCCCACAGTATTGCAATGAAAAACCAATCTTCAGTCCACCTACTTTCAGCCAGCGCTAACTAACCCCTTTGGGCTATATTTTACCTCAGGTTTAAAGTAGGCTGATGGCTAGAAAAACTCGATTTGGTTAAAACCAGTGTTTCTGGGGTGGGCTCTGCATTGATGGGTGAGATTTCTTATCGTTAGCAGTACACAGATACGAGGCCTTGCTTGTGCTGTGACTCCCATGAGTGACAGAGAATGACTGTATATTTAAATCTCATAAAACACCAAGCTTCCTCTGGATTTTATCAAATGTCACAACTATCAATATTTATTTGGCCTTCCTGATGACTGGTCTAAGTGGGGAGGCACAAGGGACATTTTAAAGCATAATGGCAGCCTTGAGTGGAATTACCATGACACTGTTTAGATAACATTTCATAACAAAATGTCTAGTTTACCCGGAGAGAAACATCACACACCTGCCATCCCAAGTCTTGGAAGCTAACGTAAAGTTCATGCTTTCTGCAAGCTGTCTTTAAGTCGCTGCTGTTGTAATCTGTTAAAAGAAAAAAACAAAACAAAACAAAACAGGAATTTAGAAAGTAAAACAGGCAGAGCATCGCTGCCAGGGCACAGCTGGACAGCTCTGCGTACGCGGAGGGTTCAGCAGGGAGAAATGGTGAGCGCCTGCAGCAGCTACAAGGAGAAGGGTGTTGACGGACATACAAAGCCGGGCTGAAGTTTTTAAGATGCCCGCAGGAAAGGAGGCACCCAAGTAATGCTAACTGGGTTGTAATTCCTTCAGCCTCCCTTAAAAACTTGACAAGCAGCGCTCATAAAACACCTCTAGTAAAACAATTTCTTAAAAATAAATCTCTGTTCCTTCAGCCTGGCACATACTGTGTCCCTGCTGTGTGCTCAAACTCGCCCCTGCTTTCTTGTGCGTTTCCAACGTGCGCTGCCCAAGGTGGTGCGTTCAAAACACTCACAGTTACTGCATGAATTATATATAACTCAGCGTAGGCTAACCGTTGCCTTGTGCCCTCCATCTTGGTTAGCCAAGAGGCAGAGGTCCTTAAACAGCTACTTCCCATTGCCAGCCAAGCCATTTCTCCCATCCCGCTCTGTGCCTAACACCCGGTCCATCCTTGGCCACCACACGCAGCACCTCAGCCGTGCCCTGACGAACGAGTGTCTCCTTCCTGTATCCTCCTAAACCTCTCCTGTAATCCTGTTTATTGGTAGTACTTTCCATTCATTGCAAATGGCATGGGATCCGATAAATGCTAAACGTTAACTTGCCCATGGTGTATGACAGAGCGTGGGCACGGGGCGCAAAGCTCCAACAAGAGACCTTTCCCCTGGCCATGGCACAACTCATGGTGATGTTTCACCAGCGCAGAGGCTGCTCAGCTAGCCCTACAAAATGCAGCTTTTGATTGCGAGTGGAATTTCCCATTTATATTTAGAAAGAAACACGGCTCAGCGTGTGAACACCTGGAACCGCAGTCCCGCGGAGAATGGAGGATTCAGGCCGTGACAGAGGGGCCTTTCACTTCCAGGTGGCTCCACAAATCCAGCCTTGATAGGTGGTGGCTGCATCTCCTCACGCTCCCGATGGCCGCAGGACCTCAGCGGAGCAGCGTCCCCGCCACAGAAACCACCCACCTCCCCACCCCAGCGGGGCGGCCCAGCGACTGGCGATGGCAGCCCGGGCTGGAGACGGGCGGCGACCCCACTTTGCGCGTGCTCAGGCTTGTCTTGCCTTGCTGGGCTGGGGCACTGCAGGGGAAGCATGTTTTTCCCCCGGATAGAAAGCCAGCAAAGGTCCCAAAGGGGTTATCCCGTTAATCACGGGGCAAAGGAAAAGTGACAGCAGCACTGCTCGATGGGAAACGAGAGAAAAAGAGAAGGTGGCAAATCTGGAGGAGCAACGTGGGAGCTCTCGTCCCCGGCCTTTGGTGACATGCGTTTTCCCGTGTGCCCTCATCCCGCAGGGAGACTCTAGCAGAGCCTGAGGCTGAACCCGGATTGCCAGTGTCTTCGGCCAGTGTCTTAACCACAGGGGCCTTCTTGCCTATCGTACGCCTCATTTACAACTAAATGTACTTCCATAAGCAGTCGGATGCCACACACTGATGCACATGCCTCCCACTGCCCTGCGCGTTTCGGCTAACCAGCCCTCCCCCCCCGCCCGGCGCCCCCAGCCCTGCCTGAAAAGGGCACTGGCCCAGTGCAGCTTTCCACAGATGTGGCAGCTGGGATAGAAAAATATTTTTAGTGACTTTTTCCTTGGCTTTGAATAAGCCTTTTTTTTTTTTGAGTTTGGAAACTACAAATGCAAATATTTATTCAAAAGAAAAACTATAATACTAAAAGCACATCCAACGGACATTAAGGGCAGCACAGCATTACAGTTGGGTACAGTTAACACTGAGGGTCTGAAAAAACCCTACACCTCAAAACAAACCTAGCCTCCAAACCACCAAAGATTAGAGAGTTGTTTTTAGAAGCAGTTTGGGTTTTAAACTTCAAGGATTGCATTTCAGACTTTCAATAGAATTACTTCAATCGTGAATTTAATCAAGTTAGCAGTGCAGGGTAGCAGACTCCTGCAGCATAAACATGCTCTATGTCAGAAGCCATCGGCAGCAAGGATGGAGGTAGGTTTTTTCCTGCTCAAGCTTTCCATTTTCAAAACAGACATATCCAGTAGAAATCATGAGGGGTTTTTTTTTTTTTTGGATTAAGCTTTTCAGTCCCTGGCTTAGCCAAGGAGTAAATTTCTAGCAAGAGATGTTTCTAAATGATCAGGTCATAATGAGGAAATAAATGAATAGTAGATGATACTTTCATTTTAGTACCTGGAAAAATGACTTGCTTTATTCTTCCATGGAAAATATGCTGTTTGCTCAGGGGAAAACCACCTGTATTTGATAGGGAGTTAGAGCAGTTGGTAAGATGGAGGTTATCTATCCATGACCAAGCAGGCAAAACTATGATACATTCCAGTAGTGCTATGGCTTGCTCAAATCAGCTATGAGAAAGGGGAGAAGGTGAGGGAAGCAGAGAGAACAGGACTGGGAGCAATCAAATGGAAAAAGAAGAGCCACTTCACCAGCTCTATGAAGCAGAACGTGCTACGAATGTGTCCTCTCGCCCTGCATGAAACTGGCCCCGATAACACCCTCCCGGCTCCCTGGTAGGCAATCAAGTCCTGCATGGCACCTGGTTTGCACTTAGCATCAAGCGCTGGCTATTCTCACGGCCTTGGTTCCAAGTCCCTGCCGAAACCCGCTCTCTCCCATTCTTCATCCAAGGCAGACACAGACAGCTCTACCTCCTCACTCTCACAAACTCAGTCTTTGCTTTTTTAAATGTCAGCATATTAAACATCCTCTTTCCTGGGATTTGCATTTTCCTCTGTTTAATCCTCACTCCAAATTCCCCTTCCCTCCCACTTACTATATTTTGCCTACCTTGTCCTACAAATACTTCAGAGAAGGAGTTTTCAAAATCCTTTTTCGCAATGTCAGTGCCACGTCAAGCTCGTCATCGCCAGGGGTTTCTGAATCTGCTGCAATGCCGTAATGGCAGGCTGAACTGGGGTGAGGAACTGGAGCAAGTCATCTCAAGG